AGGGGGGAGCCGGTTGGCTGGGCCGGCAGGTGTGGGCTGGCCTTCGCGGGCTGTGCGGCGTGGGGCGGCCCCTGACTGGCGCCTCACGGGGAGCTGCAGGCTTGCGCCAGGCCCAGAGGGTGAGACACGGACGAGGCTCCCCACCCGCGTCCGCCGGCGTGCTGGGCCTGGAGCGCGCTGCACGGCTGGGCTCCAGGCCGGGTCCTAGGCTGCCCTTCCGTGCCCGCCTTTTGTGACAGTGACCACCGGCCCCGGTAAAGAGCGGGGAAGACGGTGGGCTGCTCTCGTCCAGCCTGCAGAGAGCAAGTTCTAGCTAGTGTAGGACACGGAGGGCCTTTATGTTTGCTTTCTTCTTTCCCAGATTGGCTTACGCAGGATTCTCTGCCCTTGTCTAGGAGAACAGTCAGGACACAGATGGCCCCAAGACTACCAAGAGCCCAGATGCAGGCAAGTTTGATTTTCCCCTTTCCTGAGAAGTGTCTAAACGCTTCATAGCGAGGTGGGATTTATGCCTCTTGCCCTGAAGATGCTCTGCACTGGTGTCGACCAAGTGGCCTGAGCCAATTCTGGGTGGGTTCTGCTTGACGAGAGGACCCATCTGACTCTTTGCCTATTGTCATCCCTTCCTTACCCTTCTCATAGTCATTCACCAAATAGATTATTGCTTGCTGCTTTTGAAGAGTGCTGGAAATTGAAAAATACTTTGCAAACTCACAGAAGGTGACAAACACATATTTAACATATATGGGCTTAGGCTGAATATCCCTGAATTATTGGTGAATGATGCATGACAGGGATGGCAGCTCTCTTGATCTTCAGAGTGGTGAGTGGGACGGTCACTTTAGTTTTTCCAGAAGAGTAAGTGAAATTTTCATAACTGCAGGGGGTAGAGGAAGGCTCTGCAGCAACAGCATAGGCTTATGGCAGACTCAGGAACAAACTGGCTCCTGAGAAAGTGGGAACTTTCAGGGTTGAGAATGCCAAGCTGGAGTTTGCCTTTATTTTAGAGAAAACTGAGTTTTGAAAATTTGACAGGAAGTAATCATCATTTTGAAAGTGTTAAATACTTGAATACTTATTAAATAAGAGTAACAAAATTATAAAAAATAGAATATCACCCACATTCTTATTGCTCTAACCAATCAAGTTAATTCATTTGAAACACCTCTGCATATATACTTTTAGGCTTAGCCATTTTTTTCCTTTTAAGATGTCATAGTTATTTCTTCCATTTTATCCTTTCTCTTTGCCACTTTTTAGTTTTTCATGAGACACACAGAGAGAAAAAGACAAGGACCTTCAATAGAGTCTCATGCAGTGACCTCTCCCCCGACAGTTATCCCAGACAGAATCAAGGATGCAATAAGGGACCTGAAATCTGAGTTCTTCTATGTGGAACATTAACCCTTCATTAACACTTTTTATGGCTGCCTCTTTTACTGTACTCTCACCTAGCCCTGTGACCTCAGGAAGTTCTTCCAACACTCTGAACCTTAGTATCCTTAACTAGATTAGGTAGAATAATCCTTTATACAGATGTAGAGATTCAGAGAGTTGATGTGCACAGGGTCTTGAAAAAGACCCTGGGTATTGTGAAAAAAACTGTGACTGGATTTCACATATTTTTTGCACCGAAGTAAACTCATTCCTTAATTTCTTTTTTTTTAAATTAATTAATTAATTAATTAATTAATTTATTTTAATTTTACCAGAGAGGGACAGAGAGAGAGAGAAAGCACAAGAGAGAACATGAGAAAGCAAGCCACCAGGTCCAGGACTTGAACTGCAGTCCACCATGTGGGAGTCCAGCACCCTTAACCACCATGCCACCTGCTGGCCCCAATTCCATTTTTTCATAAACTTTTTGAAATGTCTGCTTATCTTGGGGCTTAGCACTGGACTTGACATTAAGTTGCTTCCATTATGAAAAGCAATTAATTAAAAAAGGAAATGCTGACCACAGAGTCAGACCATCCTCCCTGTAAATTCCAGGATAATGCCAATGTCACTTATATGTCTTTGTTGATTGATCAAATCCTGAACACTTAGAGTCAGGCATTGTTTTAGGCTGAGGAGGCAGCAGTGATTCAGGTGGTCCCTGCCCTCTTGGAAATTGTAACAGAGGTTACTGATGTGAAATAACAGACCTGCTGTAGGTAGTGAGAAATCCTGCGAAGAAAATGAACTGAGTTGCTGGATAGAGAGTGGTAGAGGATGATGGTGAAGAAAGAGGTCTTTCTGATGAGGTGACATAAACAGCATCTAAGGAGAAGCATGACAGGTATGTTAGAAGACCTGAGGAGGGTGATGTAGAAGGGAGAGGTAACAACCTCCCCTTATTACCTACTGGGTTTTCCAGCTTCTCATCTTATGTCTTCATTCCTCGGAACATAGTCTGAACTCTCAGAATCTGGCCTTGAACTTGATTTCCTTCTCTAGTGAAGCCATCCTGGCTCCCTACCTTAGGATGAGGGTATAAACAGTGTGTTTCCTGAATAATCAGAATTGGGGTTGATTTTGCAGGAATCGCTGACATTTGGAGATGTGGCTCTGGCCTTTACCCAGATTGAGTGGAGACACCTGGATGCTGCCCAGCGGGCCCTATATAGGGATGTGATGCTGGAAAACTATGGGAATCTGGTGTCTGTGGGTAAGCATGTCTTCTTTTACTCAGATCTAGTCTACTGGGCAACTTTATGTTTTCACAGGGTAAACGGTATGGAGTATTTAAAATTTTTAAATTATTTTTTTAAATGCATGGATTTAGATAATTATGCTGCTTCTTCCTTTCAGAAAGATCAGAACCATATAGAGTTAGGATGGGCAGTTTCATTGTACAAGCTAACCCAGTTGTCTTAGCTTTTCCGTGTCATGATTCATCTACTTCCAAAAATATGGGTGTCTTGTCTTCCAGGAGGACCTGATTTTCTAGTCAACTTTCCTTCCTTCATTTGTGTTACTCTGTGATTTGGACATCCTTGATAATAGACTGTAGGTCTCTCTGACCTCTCCATGCTCCTCATAGAAACTCAAGTTGACATTGAGGTCTGGGATGACTTACTGTGCTCATAACCATAGTCACATCCTATTTCTTTCTTTATGAACAGGGCTTCTCGCTTCCAAACCAAAACTAATCTCTCAACTGGAACAAGGGGCAGAGCCCTGGATGGAGGTGGAAGAGATTCCATTCAGTACTTGTACAGGTGAGTGAGGCAAAAACTATCTCCAGCAGCAGCAGGTCATTACACAGAACAATGAGGAGGAGATTCTTGGCTAAACTCTTCATAGAGCATCCAAAGACACTTGACAGTGGTTTCTTTTTTTAGTTTCGTCCTCATGTCAAATGACTTTCCATTTTTCTCTTCATTCTTTCTACTGCAGTGGAAAGCTGCTTCCGTTGTAAGGGCCTCAGGCCTACCTGCCTGGAAATACTCAATCTCTCACTGTGTTTATACCCCCTCTCTATTTTCAAACGTGTATCAGACTATCCTTTATTTCTTTCTACCTTCTGTCCATTTCCAATCCCTTCCAAATTGTCTTGTATTTAGCTTATTAAATGACTGTATGTCGCTTTCTTGTGGAAGTGGAAAATTTCAAATATAGTTTAACTCAGTTAATTGCTATTTTTGGCAAAGTGATGGAAAAGCGTTTTCTTCCTTTTTTTCCAAGATCTTTTCTCTGCTACCCTACTCTTGGCTCTCATTTTTTTCTGTATATATTTCTGCATATGAGGGCAGGGTCTTCAAAAAGTTCATGGAAAATGCATAATATGAAAGAAATGGATTTCAAAATTTTTTGCACAAGAATAAACTTATACTTTAATTCCTTTTTCCATGGACTTTTTGGAGTCCTTATATATCTCTGTGTGTCACTTTCTTTGGTATGGCTAGTTCTAAATCTTTAAACATGACTGTTTCTCTCACTTATTTAAGTATTTATTATTATTTAAGTTTTTATTAAGTACTTAAATATTTTCTAACTTATTTAAGTATTTAATCCTGCCAATAGTCCTTCTTCTGAGACTATATAATTTTGCTTATCATATTCAGGAGAACTTTTATAACTATTTCATGGAAAATACCAGTGATACATAATCTTGCATAACCTTAGAGATTTTTGGTATAGGGTGCATGTGCTTGCCAGAGAGATACAGAGAGAAAAAGAGACAGAAAGCAAGAAATCCCTTCTCTTCACAAGGCATGACCACACCACAATTCCTTCTCCTCTATTTTCCTCTCAGGATTTTGGGCATGTACACACATATACCCTGCGTGAGTTTTAAGCCACCAGATCTGGAACTCAAACTGCAGTCAAATGTGGGCATCCATTGCCTTAACCACTATGCTACATGTTGGACCTGGGGAGGATATTTTTTTGAGGTACATCAGTCCTTCACACCACAGGTTCCACATCCATAGATTCAACCACTGGGACCAAAAAATATGACCTTGTTGTTGATGTGGACTGTGTAGTTAGGCCTAAGGTGGTTGCTTTGTATGGAATATGTACACTTTTTTTTCTTGTCATTATTCTCTGTACAATATAGTATAATAACTATGTAGTATTCACATTGTATTAGGTATTATAAGTAATCTACAGATGATTTAAAGTATGTGAGACTTTATAGATAGGTTATATGCAAATCCTACACTATTTTACGTAAGTAATGTGAATATTGAATATTTTGGTATTGGTGAGGTGTCATGGAACTAATCTCTCCTGGATACTAAGGGACAACTATAATTTCTTTTATTCTTACTATTGGGAAAATCATCATGGATTTTTGCATAGAAAACTATATCTTGACTTTTCCACTTACCTAATATATTTAACATTTTGCCTTATACATTTTTATGTAGAGTCTTTATATAGTAACAGTAGTAACTTAGCCTTTTTATTTTTTTTGTTCTTCCCATTTAAATTTTCATTGTTATTTGAAATAGGATATTTGAAACTTAGATGTAATTAAAAAAAAAACAACACAGAGTTTTCTGTGTTAGTTTCTTTTATTTTTTTAAAAAGAGAATTATACATTTAATTTTATCTACTGTTACTATTTTTAGGTTTAGTAGAGGGTATATTTACTCACTAGAGAGGTAGAAGGTGAGAAAGCAAGCTGCCAGGTCTGGGACTTGAACTGACCTTGGCCATGTGGGGGATCCAGGGCCTTAATCACCACACCACCTGCTGGCCTTCCTCTGGTATTTCTTTTCTTATTTTTAAAATTTTTTTTGGAGAGATTTTTTTGCTGTAGAGTTCATGCGCTCACCAGAGAGGTAGAGAGACAGAAAGTGAGAAATCATCCCCCAGGGCGATTGGCCACACCACGGTTCTTTCTCCTGTATTCTCCTTTTGAGATCTTGGGCATGCATGCACAAGTGCCCAGGGTGAAGTTTAAGCTACCGGGCCCAGGACTTGAACTGTGATTGACTACGATTGATTGGCATAACCATTATGCCATCTGCTAGACCCTCTCCTCTGGTATTTCTTTCATCCATTTAGAGGACTGAAAAATTTTTCTGCAGATGCTCACAACTACTCATTGTTTTATGTTTTTGTTTGTTTTTGTTCTTGAATATTTTCCTCTATTTGTAGGTTTTTAGAAATACTTGTGGTACAAAATTTAGATATTTCAAATAGTATGCAGTCTCTTTCACATACCTTTGTAATCATTTATTTTCCCTACCTAGAGGCATCCTGTGTAACTTTTTGTGGAAATTTCTACATATGATACATGTGTTGTGAGAATATATGCTTGTATTCTTGTTAAGCACATGGTGGCACACTGTTGTGCATCTTACTTTGGTACTTATTATCTTGGAAATCCTTTTACATAACTATGTCATTTTTTTTCTTTTTTGCTTAAAGCTGCCTTATTTTTAACTTTTTTTTTTTTGGAGAGGTTTTCACTATAGGGCGCGTGCACTCGCCAGACAGAGAGAGACATAGAGACAGAAAGTGAGAAATCACCCCCCAGGAGGGATGGTCACACCGCAATCCCTTCTCCTCCATTCTCCTCTCTGGATCTTCGGCACGCACGCACACGCGCCCGACGTGAGTTTTAAGCCACCAGGTTCGGGACGCGAACCGCGGTCGACTACGTGGGAGTCCAGCGACATAGCCATTACGCTAACTGCTCGTTCCCAAAGCTGCCTTTTTAAAAAGAGTTATTTAATTTAATTATTATTAGTTTTGTTTAAAAATTATTTATTTGTTTAATTCCATTTGTTGTTATTATTATCTTTAATTTGATCAGAGAGAGACAGATAGAGAAAGGGAAAACAAGAAAGCAAGCTGCCAGGTCTGAGACTCGAACTGCAGTTGGCCATGTGGGAATCTAGCATTCCTATTCACCATGCCACCTGCCAGCCCCAATGATTATTTTTCAATTTGACCAGAAAGACTAGAGAGAGAAGGGAAAGTGAGAAAGCGAGTTGCCAGGTTCAGGATTCGAATTGCAGTCAGCCATGTGGGAGTCCAGCATCTTAACTATCATGGCACCTGCTGGCCTGAAAAGCCACTATTTTTTAAATTTCATTTTATTATTATTATTATTTTTTTGGAGAGGTTTTTGCTATAGGGCGTGTGAGCTCGCCAGAAAGACCGAGAGAGAGAGACAGAAAGCGAGAAATCACCCCCCAGGGGGAATGGCCACACCGCAGTCCCTTCTCCTCCATTCTTCTTGTGGGATCTTGGGCATGCATGCGTATGCGCCTGTCGTGAGTTTTAAGCCACCGGGCCCAGGACTCGAACTGCAGTTCTCTACACGGGAGTCCAGTGACATACCATTAGGCTAACTGCTGGTCCCAACAATTGTTTTAGGTTTAAGGCTGAGTATATTTTCAGATTTTGTGACTATTACCAATATTCATAGAAATGATAGACATTTATACTCCTAATGACAAGTGCTAATCTGATCACAGTTTGTCAACAATGTGTTGTACTTTTTGGTCATTGTCAATCTGAGATGCGAACATATTTCATTGTAATTTTAAAAAATGATTTATTTATTATTATTTTTTTTACATGAGTTTTTACCAGAGAAAGAGCATACACACATGTACATGCATAAGCCTCCAGGTCTGGGACTCCCACTGTGGTTGGCCATGTGGGAATGCACTGTAACCACCACGCTATGCCCCTTTAATTGTAATTTTAATTTACCTTTCTCTTATTAGGAATGTGGTTGAATAACTTCTTTTTTTTTTTTAAGAAAATTTTGCCGTAGGGCACTTGCTCTCACTTGAGAGACAACAAGAAATCACCTCTCTCCAGGGGAGATGGCCATGCCACAATCCCTTCCCTCCATTCTCCTCTTAGAATTTTGGGCATGCACTTGCATGTGCCCTTGTGCCTTTCAAGCTGCTGGGTCCAGGACCGAACCACGGTCAGCCATGTGGGAGTCCAGCGACATAACCACTATGCCATCTTCTGGCTCCTCTTTTTGTGTCTTTAATAGGATTATGTCTAGGGCTCTCTAGCTGGTAGTTGGTTTGGGTTATATATGTTATTATGTAGAAAAAGTATTTAAATATTTTACTGAAAAATTAATATGGTATGGTGGTTAAAGGCTGGACTCCCACATGGGTAACTATGGTTTTGAGTCCTGGACCTGGCAACTTGAAAATCACACTGGGCATATGTGTGTGTGTACCCAAGATTCCAGGAGGATAATGGAAGAGAAGGGATTGTGGTGTTGCTCTTCCCTCTGGGAAGTGATTTCTCACATTCCCTCTTGCTGTCTCTCTGTTTGTCTCTGGCAAGCGCACGTGCCCTGTGGCAAAAACCTTTAAAAAAGAGAATTTGTTTTCTTCACGATAGAGTGTGTGCATGTGCACAGGGTAGGGAGTGCACTCTCCATGGGTCTGATGACCCTTTGATCCTCTTCTAGTTCCTTAGCCATTGGATATTTGGGGACTTTACGTATGGCCAGCAAGTTTCAGGCTGATCATGCTAGGGATTAGAAAGAACTATGCTTACCATCTGGGATCCAGCTCCTCTTCAGCAGTGTATAACCACTGCACCATGGAGCCAGTCCAGAATTTTTTTTCTTAAATCAAACAGGGAAGCTGGATTTTATTAAATATCTTTTAAGCATATATGGAAATAAAATGTCTTTTCCTTTTTGAGCTGTTAATATTGTATATTTTAGGGACCAGCAGGTGGCATGGTAGTTCAAGGCATTGGACTCTTACATGCCCAA